GAAAACACACAAGTAATTTTTCTATGTTTCTCTCTCTCTCTCTCTCTCTCTCTCTCTCTCTCTCTCCCTCTCCCTTCCTCTCTCTAAAATCAATAAAAACATATTTTTAAAAACACCAGGAGAGTCTTCCAAAATTTCAACTTTTCAAGGGGAATCACAGAATTTCAAAGCCAGCCAGTGGAGTGAATTATACCCTCTGGTTATATCGCTGCCATGTGAAGGAGACATTGAGCTAGTTGAGCAGAAAAGGGACACAGTCCTTTGTCCACAACCCAAAAATCACACATGAAAGTTCTTCGAATGAATTATGATGACTCTTGGCTGTTTTAACATTTATTGTTATAATTTAAAATTGTTTTTTAAATGTGGGGTAAGAACATCATTCGTGCACTTATTGATTCTATTGCTGAAAAATACACCTAAAATCCGGTAACCTTGGAAAACAAATTAGGAAGGGCAAAAAAAATAAATAAGGCAGAACCACCACTGAGAGACTTCATGCTGGTTTAGCAGCCCTTACACTAGAACAGGCTCAAGGTGAGACTAAGAAAACAACATTTTCTTTAACCAGATGGGTTCAAAACTATTACCAGGAAAGTCCCGGTGACCTGACCACAAGCTCCTTCTGGTGACAATGCAGCACTAAAGGGGGCATGGGGGAGGGGAACCCCCTTTTCAATATGTATTCATATGGGAATTACGTATTGAATTATGCAGATGTTTGAGCAATGTGAGATCTTTACAAGCATGAAAGGCAACAGAGAAGCAAGAGAAGGATAGTGAGCTGAACCCAGGTGCCGGGCAAGGTGGCAACAGCTGGAAGAGGGAAATCCACTCATTTCCCTCCTCATTAAAAAGGATCCCCTGCCGTAACCGGTTTGGCTCAGTGGATAGAGCATCGGCCTGCGGACTGAAATGTCCCAGGTTCGATTCCGGTCAAGGGCATGTACCTTGGTTGCGGGCACATCCCCAGTAGGGGGTGTGCAGGAGGCAGCTGATCAATGTTTCTCTCTCATGGATGTTTCTAACTCTCTATTCCTCTCCCTTCCTCTCTGTAAAAAATCAATAAAATATATAATTTTTAAAAGGATCCCTTGAGCACTTAACTGCACATAACATGCACTTCTGGGTTCCAGTCTAAGAACGTTCCCATGTTCCTCTTTCTGTCTGTGGCAATAAAAGCCAAAACAGGCGAAGGTAACATGACTCGTTTTCACAGGGAAGATACAGTCGATGATGCTTGTCCAGTCCTTATGTGACCACAGGGGGCGCCGTCCATGAGCAGCTCAGTGTTCTGTTCTTTGCCAAAAAACAGTGATAGGATGAGTCCCAGGCTGTGATTGGAGAAACACAGGGTCTCTTCTGTGGATAAATTCTGATGACTTCCCTGGTTCCTCCTACTTGGGGGAGAAAATATGGAGAAAAGGCTGACGAGAAATTTACACCCCAGAAATTCACTAAAAAGTCTAGCATGCAGGGGCTGACAAGCTAGAATGGCTAAGGTCCAAAGCTGAATAAAGATATCCTACCATCTGACTCTACAGCTCCACACCTCGCCCCTACCATCATAGATGGCCTTTTTATTTATTTCATCTTTTTACAAACAGGTGCAGTGCTTACTGTGTGCCAGGCAGCGTTCTAAGCACTTAACACATCAGACCTCATTTCATTCTCATGAGATAGGTACTACTCCTCCCATTTTATGGATGGAGAAACTGAGGCACAGCGACATTGAGTGGCTTGTGCAAGGTCACAGAGCCTGGAAGTGGTACAGTTGGGGTTTGAACCCAGGCACTTTGGCGTCATTTAAATGCAACAGTGATGAATCACTTAAATGCTACAGGTGTGTAATGAAGACTTCAAGGTTCAATGCGTGCTTTTTAGAACACAAAGTGTTGTTCATAGATAAGGAATCATAGCCCTGGCCAGTGGCTCAGGTGGTTGGAGTGTTGTCCTGTAACCAAAAGGTTGTGGGTCCGATTCCAGGTCAGGACATATACCTAGGTTTGGGGTTTGATCCCCAGTCAGGGTGAGTACAGAAGGCAACTCATCAATGTTTCTCTCTGACATGGATGTTTCTCTCTCTGCCTCTCTCTAAAAATCAATAAATACATATCCTCTGGTGAGGATTAAAAAAAGATAAGGGGCCCTGGCCAATGTTGCTTGCTGGTTCGAGCATTGACCTGTACACCAAATCGATGCTATGGATTCCACCACGTGAGATGGTTTTGGTGACCAAGAGTGTGTTGGGACCCTTCATTTACAGCTCAGATAGACATATCCTTTGACCACTGGTGATTTCGGACAAAAGGAAACCAGCGGAATATACTGTGAAAACAGGGTAATGTTAGGACACAGTCAGTAGGACATAGCAGAACTATCCTTGGCGTGAAACTGTGTGTTCTATGAACAGCTGTTCCCTAAAGTTGTTCATCAGAAGGAACAACAATTCTGATAGCAACCAAGGAAAGTTGTCAACATTTGGAGGGAAACAGACCTGTGTTCGAATCCCTCTAACTGGCTGAGTAGCTTTAAGCCAGTGGTTCTCAACCTTGGCTGCACATTAGAATCACCTGGGAATCTTTTAAAAATCCTGATTTCTGGGCCTCATCCTCCGGAAATTCTGTTTCTTTGTTACTAATGTTGTGGCCTCACCCCATAACAAAGAAACAGAATTTCTGGAGGATGAGGCCCAGAAATCAGGATTTTGAAAAGATTCCCAGGTGATTCTAATGTGCAGCCAAGGTTGAGAACCACTGCTTTAAGCAAACCGTTTGAGCTTTCCCTGTTTTCTTTACTCATCCTTAAACAGGCAATTTAGACACAACAAATTAAGTTGATGGGCCAGGCACTGCTCCAGGCAAAAGGAAAACTATAGTAGCCCAAACCATGAAACTTACAGAGGGTAGAGACTGACTTAAAGCAAACATTTTGATGTCTTTAAAATAAATAACATATAATGAGATACAGGTATTCAGAGAATTAAAATAGAATGCAGTGACAGAGAGTGAGACTGTCATAGAATGAGTGGTTAGGAAAACTTCTCTGAGAAGGTGACATTTCAGCTGAAGTTCGAACATTAATGGGACAACCTGGGAGGATGAATGGGAAGGGCTGGAGGAATCAGCTGGTGCAAAGGCCCAGAGGCAGGGATGAACCTGGGAAGTTCAGGGAACTGAAAAGCAGCCAACACAGGTGAATAGGGGTGTTGGGCCAATTTTAAGTGATGATGGGAGGTTCAGTTTGATTCTAAATGTGATGGGAAGGCAGCGATTTAAGTAGCGGAGTAAAATAATCTGATATATATATTTCACTGACACTCTGGCTGCTATATAGAGAATGGGAAAGGGAATGGGGGAGGAGAGAGAGAGAGAGAGAGAAATTTTAGGGTGAACTTTTAGAGTGACATATGAAGGGTCAGATTTGACCACTTAAGTAGCCACCTCCCTGTGTGTGTGTGACATCGATAAAACGTACCCCATATTTTTCCTGTATTCCACCCATAGGAATGTCACAGTAATAGTGACAATGATAGGAAATAAGTAAAGAGTGCTACAATGTTATAGCAATAGAAAATAATTAAAGAGTGTTGTAGGAAATGTAGAAAAATTATTTTGTGTGAAATATTTATGTGAAATATTAAAGAGCACAGGAATGACCACTCTGGCCAAGCCCCAGCTGCACCATATAGATAAGACCATAGCCGAATGCTCCCCTTAGGAATGACGTGTGTAAACCTGATAGACACCTTCTGAGTGACACTGTAGCTGATAACCAATCTGTACTCTGATTAACACGTTTGTAATGATGTACTGATAGCCACCTGGACTGCCGGGGGTCAGGACAGGCTTAAAAACGGGTCCCCAGACATCGATCATCTTTTTGATGCATGCTCCGCGCTGCCTTGCTCCACGTCACAGGGCAGAAGAACGGCCAAACCTCTTCCCGCTGACTCAACCCAACCGGATGGCCAGCCACCCAAAGACAGATCCGCCGCTGCCCGCAGAGGACGCCACTCTTCCCCGGGGACCCCGTTAAGTCTGAGCCCACGGCACCAGGAACCTTGTGAATAATAAAGTGTGCTGTGTGATTTGCAGCTGCATACTTTTGTGTGGTGTAATCCCTCCGGCAGACTTAACTATATTAATATAGAATCAGATAATAATGCCTACCCTCAGTCCTGCTTGCTTAGAGTAGTCTCTTTGCTAGCAACTTCTTTTTTTTTTTTTAATATATTTTATTGATTTTTTACAGAGAGGAAGGGAGAGGGATAGAGAGTTAGAAACATCGATGAGAGAGAAACATCAATCAGCTGCCTCCTGCACACCCCCCACTGGGGATATGCCCGCAACGAAGGTACATGCTCTTGACCGGAATCGAACCAGAGACCCTTCAGTCCGCAGGCCGATGCTCTATCCACTGAGCCAAACCGGTTTCGGCGAGGACTGCTAGCAACTTCTTAATGTTCGAACACCTGCATGGTTAAGTTTATCTCAAGGGACGCCTTGGATAAAACCCCACATACTCTACTCGGACATTCAGCTTCATAATGCAGGAACCTAATGCAATTTCTCTTTTCTTTCAGATCAAGAAACAAGGATGTTCACGGTAGCACGAGATGTGGGGTTCAGACAAGTGCACGGCGTGGCAGAGAAGCTGGTCTTACCACTTTGGTGTGGGTAGTAGAGGCAGAGACCTCAGTGCTTTCGGTTTCAACTCCTTTCTGCACCCCACTAAGCCATTTCTTGTATTCCATTCGCACCTGTAAGTTTGAGGAATATAGAGGATTGTGTTACATCCAGAGCTTGGTTCAGAAAAAAAAAGGACCCTAAAAATAGGAGACTAAAGACTAGGCACTGCTCTCTACAGCTCTTTCATTGGTTTTCTGTATAGTCTTGACCAAACCCATATTGATTTCTTTTAAGTATATTC